TAGATCAACAGACAACGGTGAACACATGGTCACGTGAACACGTTGTTCTGTTACGGCTAGAAGCAGATTGCGTGAATCGGACGGAAGGATATCCCACAAAATGAGTGGGCGCACCACATTTGAGCACCACAGTTCTGTTACGATAAAAGCATTTGAATCTCAATATTCGAAACAGTCATACACGGCTGCGTGTTCATCCAGCCTGAATGAAAATATTTGGCGGTTGAATAAAACAATGTTCTGTTTAATTTTATTCATGATCTTAGGATATAGGCGAATGATCTAATTTTGTCTCTGTAACTGGTGTGCTTGAAGACCAGTCAGTAGGCGGGCGGTTTAAACAGACACTGTATGACATCTAGAATACAAGCGGGCGATTGGTGAATACCTGCTGTTTAACCAATAAACTTCCTTTGCACATGTTATTTAATCCCTCTGATTTCTTTCAATGATTGAACTACTACTTCTCTGGTCTTTTTCTCGCGTCTCGATAACGGGGGATACCAGCGAGGAACGACTAATGCGATTCAGTGTTTCCATTGCGTCCGTGATTCATGACTCATGATTAGTAGGGATTCGTGATTAGTGTCTACATCGACTACCACACCTATATTCTGAGCCCTATCTTTCAGATTTTCTAAACGTCGATAATCCTCATCATTCGGACCTCACCCTGGAAGGATAGCTGCTACAATCACAGCCAGTACTGAAGCTAAATTCGTCATGCCTCTACGATAGGTTGTGGTCTAACCGCCACAGCTCTTCTTCCAACCTTGCCCAGCACGTGCAAAGAGCGCACGAATCGGTAGACGATGGGCAGACATACGCAAAACCTGATCGAGCCATCGGAGGCGGTATAGAGCGATTGCTTCTTTTAGAGAGCGACTATCCATACCCAACACTTGACGAAGATTTTCGTCATTGATCACCCGATTTTCTCAGTGTATATTAATAATTATTCATTGGCATTGGAGGTTGAGTGCGGAAAGTCGATCAGCATCTTCCGCTCGGAGAGGCCAGGTCTCGCAACCGTAAAGCAGAATGCTACGAACTGCGGTGATGCAAACCCTTCCATCAAGGGACTAACGGATGTCATAGAGACGCCATAGGTATCGCAGGTTGTCAAAGGCTGCTCAAGCTTTCGTTATTCGTGATTTAATCTCTTCCTCAACACCACCACCAGCTGCGATCGATTTCCCAAGGTAATTAAAGCTCTCAACCACTTCCAGTAGATCATCACAGAGGGTGAGTGCTAGCACAGACTCTTACCAGTCTTCCATTTTGCCTGTTCACCGAGCTTTGCAATTTGTTTGCAGACGTTTCATCACCAGCCGCACTTTAGACTTGAATTGTGAAAAGCAAAGTCCGTCTCTGGATACGACTATCGATAAATGGTTTAAAGTTTGTTGGAATGCCTGTGCATTGTCACCGGACAAGGCGAGGCCATCGGCATAGTCCAGATCTCTGTTACCTGGTAGTAGTTCCTCTCCACCGTTTGTTAGACCGGAAAAAACGCCCAGCCGAACATCCTATACAGCGAACTTGAAGAGGAATGGGGATATAGGGCAACCTTCTCGCACTCCATTAGAGACGGCAAACAGGTGGCCATGGGCCGTGACCCGACCTGGGGTATGAAGATATAACTCTTTGAGAATGGACACACACTTGTCTGGTACTCCATTTCCAAACAAGCAGTTCCATAGTGCGGTTTTATTGATGGAGTCCAAGACTGCCCGAATGTCTAGGAAAACAATGATCTTTGGTCTGTGGTAAACATGACGATGCTCTAGCAGCTGTCGGAGGGTGAAGATTTGTTCAATGCATCCACCAGCGGCACGAAACCCAGCCTGTTCATTGTGGGCGTGCTCCTATGCATCTTGTACAATCTACGAACAATGACGGACGCTAGCAGCTTTGATGCTGTGAGGATAAGTCTTATACCCATAAGATTGAATGGTGAACCATTGTCTGGGTGTGGTTACATGAAAACTGGGAACATTCGACTGACTGCTACTTTTCAGTGGTGCTACATTTCAGAGTGCTTTTTGTATAGAGATGAATATGATCGGTTTTGGTATTGTTAATTTGGTGTTTTCCGTTAGAAGTGAACAAATCATATATTTTTGACACACACACACACATATATATATATATGGTCAACTTTGTACAGTAATAGAACAGAGCTGTTCAATGTTTGATGGGCCCGGTTTTCATTGCTGTTTCGGTGATAACCCAGTTTCCTGTTTTATTTCAATCATGAATGGTTTTGGTTGCCTCTTGAAATGCATCATAGGGGATGCAAGAGTGGATGCAGGATGAAATTTAAAATGAATTGTGTTAATCGGATACCAGATAGTACGGGATTATTTCAAACCCCAATCGCATACGTGTTAAGCTCCACGAGAAATTGAGGCAAACAAAGTTGAACGATCGGTTTACTAGTGTCAGGGGGAACGAAAAGTGGTTCTCGGTCATCGTGCACCAAATTGCAAAAATGTCTATTTCCTCTGAAATTCAATGCACTTTGTTGCTGGTCGCCCGCCTAATACCACTGATACTCTATTCGTCTTCACGCCGCTTTCGTCGCAGACACAACCAAAGTGAGCCAATATACTGAACCTGTAGTTAGTAATCACTCACATGAGCTGCGTATGGCATTTCCATTCCTTTCATGGCCAACTGACAAGCTCTTGTGGCTGTCAATGATGACACATTCTGCAACGGACGGGGAAAGGGATCGTCATGGTAAAAAGGGAAGAGATCATAATGCGAAAAGCACGTGTCATGATTGAACTTTGATAACCATATCATATCATCAATCAATCAATCAATCAACCAATCCAGCAACTAACTGGCTCTTCATCCACGAAATTTCGATAATCTGAGAAATATTTCTGTTCATTTGTAGGTTACTTCTAGTTCTCATTATCGGTATTCACAAAGACTGACATGCCAAGCGATTGGACATCATCACTCTTTTTCTCACACTCAGGTGCAAAGCGCATCTAATCGCATGCTCCGCGCGACGCGGCACGGACCGATTGATTATAGCACGTGAGAGCGTTTTATACCCACACCGTTTCAGTACTGTCTACGCATCATCGCATTATACACATGCGTGTATATATATATATATAT